ATCCAAAGGTACCAAAATCAAGAACACCCTTAAACGTCTCCGAATGTTAAAATGACCTATCAAGGCAATTCTAGCGTGCAATTCATAACCTAAAATGGTCTTTTGATGTTATTTGAAAAAGACTTTAAATTTATTGCATAAAATTGGTAGGAAAGGGTCTTATTTTAAGACCCAAAGGTACCAAAATCAAGAACCCCCTTAAACGTCTCTGAATGTTAAAATGACCAATTAAGGCAATTCTAGCGTTCAATTCATAACCTAAAATGGTCATTTTACGCTATTTGAAAAAGACTTTAAATTTATTGCATAAAATTGGTAGAAAGGGTCTTATTTTCAGACCCAAAGGTACCAAAATCAAGAACACCCTTAAACGTCTCTGAATGTTAAAATGACCTATCAAGGCAATTCTAGCGTTCAATTCATAACCTAAAATGTTCATTTGATGCTTTTTGAAAAAGACTTTAAATTGATTGCATAAAATTGGTAGTAAAGGGTCTTATTTTAAGACCCAAAGGTACCAAAATCAAGAACACCCTTAAACGTCTCCGAAAGTTAAAATGACGTACCGAGGCAATTAAAGTGTGCAATTCATTACCTTAAACGGTCTTTTGACGCTATTTGAAAAATACTCTAAATTTATTGCAAAAAATTGGTAGCAAATGGTCTTATTTTAAGACCCAAAGGTACCAAAATCAAGAACACCTTTAAACGTTTACGAATGTTAAAATGAGGTATCGAGGCAATTCTAGCGTCAAATTCATTACCTAAAACGGTTATTTGACGCTATTTGAAAAAGACTTTAAATTTATTGCATAAAATTGGTAGCTAATGGTCTTATTTTAAGACCCAAAGATACCAAAATCAAGAACACCCTTAAACGTCTCCTTATGTTTAAATGACGTACCGAGGCAATTCTAGCTTGCAATTCATTACCTTAAACGGTTATTTGACGCTATTTGAAAAAGACTTTAAGTTGATTGCATAAAATTGGTAGTAAAGGGTCTTATTTTAAGACCCAAAGGTACCAAAATCAAGAACACCCTTAAACGTCTCCGAAAGTTAAAATGATCTACGGAACCAATTCTAACGTGCAATTGATAGCCTAGAATGGTCATTTGACGCTATTTGAAAAATACTCTAAATTTATTGCATAAAATTGGTAGGAAAGGGTCTTATTTTAAGACCCAAAGGTACCAAAATCAAGAACACCCTTAAACGTCTCCGAATGTTAAAATGACCTATCAAGGCAATTCTAGCCAGCAATTCATAACCTAAAATGGTCTTTTGACGCTTTTTGAAAAAGACTTTAAATTTATTGCATAAAATTGGTAGGAAAGGGTCTTATTTTAAGACCCAAAGGTACCAAAATCAAGAACACCCTTAAACGTCTCCAAAAGTTAAAATGACCTATCAAGGCAATTCTAGCGTTCAATTCATAACCTAAAATGGTCATTTGACGCTATTTGAAAAAGACTTTAAATCTGTTGCATAAAATTGGTAGCTAATGGTCGAATTTTAAGACCCAAAGATACCAAAATCAAGAACACCCTTAAACGTCTCCTAATGTTTAAATGACGTACCGAGGCAATTCTAGCGTCAAATTCATTACCTAAAACGGTTATTTGACGCTATTTGAAAAAGACTTTAAATTTATTGCATAAAATTGGTAGCTAATGGTCTTATTTTAAGACCCAAAGGTACCAAAATCAAGAACACCCTTAAACGTCTCCGAAAGTTAAAATGACGTACCGAGGCAATTAGAGCGTGCAATTCATTACCTTAAACGGTCTTTTGACGCTATTTGAAAAATACTCTAAATTTATTGCAAAAAATTGGTAGCAAATGGTCTTTTTTTAAGACCCAAAGGTACCAAAATCAAGAACACCTTTAAACGTTTACGAATGTTAAAATGAGGTATCGAGGCAATTCTAGCGTCAAATTCATTACCTAAAACGGTTATTTGACGCTATTTGAAAAAGACTTTAAATTTATTGCATAAAATTGGTAGCTAATGGTCTTGTTTTAAGACCCAAAGGTACCAAAATCAAGAACACCCTTAAACGTCTCCGAAAGTTAAAATGACGTACCGAGGCAATTAGAGCGTGCAATTCATTACCTTAAACGGTCTTTTGACGCTATTTGAAAAATACTCTAAATTTATTGCAAAAAATTGGTAGCAAATGGTCTTATTTTAAGACCCAAAGGTACCAAACTCAAGAACACCTTTAAACGTTTACGAATGTTAAAATGAGGTATCGAGGCAATTCTAGCGTCAAATTCATTACCTAAAATGGTCATTTTACGCTTTTTGAAAAAGACTTTAAATTTATTGCATAAAATTGGTAGAAAGGGTCTTATTTTAAGACCCAAAGGTACCAAAATCAAGAACACCCTTAAACGTCTCTGAATGTTAAAATGACCTATCAAGGCAATTCTAGCGTTCAATTCATAACCTAAAATGTTCATTTGACGCTATTTGAAAGAGAATTTAAATTGATTGCATAAAATTGGTAGTAAAGGGTCTTATTTTAAGACCCAAAGGTACCAAAATCAAGAACACCCTTAAACGTCTCCGAAAGTTAAATTGATCTACGGAACCAATTCTAACGTGCAATTGATAGCCTAAAATGGTCATTTGACGCTATTTGAAAAAGACTTGAAATTTATTGCATAAAATTGGTTGCAAAGGGTCTTATTTTAAGACCCAAAGGTACCAAAATCAAAAACACCCTTAAACGTCTCCGAAAGTTAAAATGACGTACCGAGGCAATTAGAGCGTGCAATTCATTACCTAAAACGGTCTTTTGACGCTATTTGAAAAAGACATTAAATTTATTACATAAAATTGGTAGAAAGGGTCTTCTTTTAAGACCCAAAGGTACCAAAATCAAGAACACCCTTAAACGTCTCCGAAAGTTAAAATGACCTACCGAGGCAATTCTAGCGTGCAATTTATAACCTAAAATGGTCTTCTGACGCTATTTGAAAAATACTCTAAATTTATTGCAAAAAATTGGTAGCAAATGGTCTTATTTTAAGACCCAAAGGTACCAAAATCAAGAACACCTTTAAACGTTTACGAATGTTAAAATGAGGTATCGAGGCAATTCTAGCGTCAAATTCATTACCTAAAACGGTTATTTGACGCTATTTGAAAAAGACTTTAAATTTATTGCATAAAATTGGTAGAAAGGGTCTTATTTTAAGACCCAAAGGTACCAAAATCAAGAACACCCTTAAACGTCTCCGAAAGTTAAAATGACCTACGGAGGCAATTCTAGCGTTCAATTCATAACCTAAAATGGTCATTTGACGCTATTTGAAAATAACTTTAAATTTATTGCATAAAATTGGTGGCAAAGGGTCTTATTTTAAGACCCTAAGGTACCAAAATCAAGAACACCCTTAAACGTCTCCGAATGTTAAAATGACCTATTCTAGCTTGCAATTCTTTACTTAAAACGGTCATTTGACGCTATTTGAAAAATACTCTAAATTTATTGCATAAAATTGGTAGCCAATTGTCTTTTTTTTTATCTTTACCATACCAATATGGAAGGCTTGATAAACTGACCCTACTATTTACTCCTTTATCATTGGATTTTTGACATTCTCTTGACAATAGACACAGCACCCCCCTTCCCCCCTCCTTGAAAAAAATGGATTTGCTGATTTTTCTTAACACAAATTTGCTATTATCGGAGTCGCGGAGGAGCCATTGCCCGTGAACTCCCAAGAGACACTTCTCCCGCTTATATTTTTAATTGTTGGTTTCCCCTTTGGACTACCTGTGGTTCATTCAAATTGAATCTCCCTTGAGTATCCCAGGTTTTCGTAGAACATAAATAAGCAATCCATTTGCTTTATAATCAATATTCTGAATTATAAACCAGATATTAAGTATGATGCATAACAAAGTTTTGATGATGCTAATGGAAACTTGAGGATAATATCGTTCGCTCTGGCATTCTGCAATGAATTCGGCAGTGTTTTTGAAGGTTTATACTATCCAAGATGGCCTACTTGATGGTGCTCTATTGTGACTTCAGCTAGATCTATAAATCAACTAAATCTCTAAACTTCTCAACTTTGTTCGATACTGGATTTTGTATTGCACCGTAAAGCTTCGACAAGTAGAAGACATTCGATGCCTTGACGCAGAGGTAGAGGACGCAGGCTGATTGCGTTTAATTGAGGTAATCGAATATGTTCTCTTATTTCCTTTCAAAATTTTGCTTTTATCTTACCTTATCAGAAAGTAGATACGACATCTTCAAGACTGTTCTTCTTAACGTCAAGCGAATAAGCTTTGTTGAATAATTTTGATAGGGCTCTTATTTTAAGTATTCTGCAACTTCGATAAATACGCAGTAAATCAAAAACCTGCCGGCTGTAAAGAAAACCTGTTTTCAGAGAGCAAACTTAGAATTCGTTTGGTTAAAGCTTTGATTGCAATATATATGGCAGACATTTGACCAGGGACGGATCCAGGATTTTTGGTGATTATAGCTCAAATTTTTTGGGATCGGGACCACACCCTCCTTGCTTGTGGGACACACCCACTATATGGGCAAATGATAAAACCATGTGTGTTTATAGTTGCTTCGTATTCATAAATATTCCTTCGAACATCCTTTTTCTATCTCCAGGGACGCCAGAGAAGGGGGTGTAGGGGTACAACCGCCCCTGTCGCCCTTTGACAGAAGGGGTAAGAGTTGTTTCTAATAAAGTTCCCTTGAAACTGGCCAATTGTAATAATCAGAGAGATTCATATGAAATTCTGAACTTTTCAAAACATGTAAAATAATTCCTTATGCCGAAAGTTAGCCAATGTTGAAGATACCTACAGATAATAAAATTGCAGTCACGTATGAATTTGTAGAAGCTGAGAATTATCTTTCAAAAGCCCTTTAACTCGAGCCTGCCCCCCTCTCTTGCCGCTTGGTCGTTCCGCCGTCCCTGCCTATTCCCTAGTAGGTTCTTGCCTTTGAAGCTACATTACAGGGGACCCAGGATGTGAAGACGAGCTATAGTCCACTGTTGCTTTACAGGGGGCAGAGAGCGGAAATATACCGTGGATACTCATATTCTATTGGTTAAAAAGCCATTTTCAAACCTGACTATAGCTTCACTATAGCTCGCGCCAAAAATTATAGTACGGGTTTCATTGTCTTCGATGCCTTTTCCAGAGCAAATCCCCAGACCGACTATAGCTCGGAATATCCACTGTAGCTCAATTCTGGTTGGTTACCGTCAACAAAGAACGAGACTTCTGATTCGTCTAAGTTTAAATATTAGACCATTCTGCCCTCAGTGTTTTATAACTTATCTGGAGAGGCATAGTGATGACACATTGCCAGCATTGCATGTTTGTTAATTGTATTTGATAACAGCTCGAGCTACAGTTGCTATAGTCTGGATCCGCTCCTGATTTGACCCTACACATTGAATATAGTGATCTAAGAGGGGATATAGTGAAGGGGCTATATAGCCTCGCCTAATCAATCAACAAGGGTAAAATCAATCAGAACGATATTTAGCTACCCTTACCCTCTGGTAATGAGAAGATTTTTGGTGAACAGCGAATGCCTGCTGCGTTTACAAATTATTGACATTTTCCTAAGCACGGGATTAAGATCAATTTTGAATCACCTGCACTGCAGCCTGAACTCTATCCATACTTACTTACATACTTACATCGAGTAACATGAATCTAAGTAAATTCTTACCTTAGATAGATAAAAAAGATGATTCATAATCGTGTCCCTTTTACTTTTGAAAGAAGCTTTGATGTCTCTGCCCTTTGTACCTTAGGCTAAATTTATCTTTGAACTATTTGCATAAGACTAAAGTTTGAATTTTCAAAAGTTTTTGTTTCTCGTTGGATTCATCCATTGATAGAAAGCATTGCTTGTTCTGCCATATTTTCCTTGGAATTTTCCATCCATAATCTAATCTAAGTAAACTGTTACCCTTGATAGATAAAGTCGAAGATTCACCATCGTATCCTTCCTACGTTCTGAAAGAAGGTTTGTTGACTCTACCCTTTATACCTTTGGCTAAATTTATTTTGGAAGTATTCTGATTCAACTCTAAATTTGAATTCTTAAAGATTAATCCTACAGCAAATCTAAAAACAGTCTTACCCAAATCAAATCTAAGAATAGTTATTGAAAAAGTCGACCACTCTCCATCGTGTCTCTTCTGCGTTTTAAAACAAGGTTTTTTCGTCCCTGTCCCTTATACTTTAGGCTGAATCTATCTTTGAATTATTCGGTTCAAAATCTCCCTGTTGATTAGAAAATGTTTATGTTTTCCCTTGGTTTTTCTCCATTGATAGACAGCTTGTTATGCCATTAATTCCTTGAATTTTTCAATCTTCAATCTAATCGAAGAAAATGCTTACCCTATATTGAAAAGTCGATGACTGTCCATCGTGTCTCTTCTGCGTTGTGAAACAAGCTTTTTGTCCCTGTCTCTTGTACTTTTGGCTAAACTTTTTTTTAATTATACTGATTAAAATCTAACATTTAAATTGATAAAGTTTATGTTTCTCGTTATTCTCTCTCAATTAATAGACAGCAAAGCTCGTCATGCCATTATTTCCCGGGATTTTTAAATGCTTAACCTAATCTTCGTGAACTCTTTTGTTAGACTGAAAAAGTCAACGACTTTCCATCGTGTCTGTTTTGCGTTTAAAAACAAGGTTTTCGTTTCTGTCTCCTGTACTGTTGGCTAAATGTATCTTTGAATAATACTGATTAGACTCTTACCTTTTATTAGATAAAGTTTATGTTTCTCGTTGGTCTCTCTCAATTGATAGAGAGCAATGCTTGTTGTGCCATTGATTCCTTGGATGTTTCAGTTCTTTATCTAATCTAAGTAAGGTCTTACCCCCTATTGATAAAGTCAATCTCTCTCCATATTGTCTCTTCTGCGTTTTGAAACAAGGTTTTTGTTCCTGTCCCCTTTACTTTTGACTAAACGTATCTTTGAATAATTCTAATTAAAGTCTTACTTTCAAATTATGTTTCTCGTTGGTCTATTTCAATTAATAGACAGCAATGCTCCTCGTAACATTATTTCCTGGGATGTTTCAATCCTTAACGTAGGTTTTGTAAACTCTTACGTTAGACCGAAAAAAGTCGATGAATGTCCATCGTGTCCTTTCTACGTTTTGAAGTTCATCGTTTGGTATTCATTAAATCGTTATAGTTTTTGGCAGTTTCACATTCAGTTTGGCAGGATAAATGTCCCTGACATCCTCAAACAAAACCACAAAGTTACCCACTTTCTTCTACTGTTTTGTATTTTCAAACCAAGAGTAGACAGTCTTGAATTGCTCGCAAAAAAATTTCTTTTTTTATAGATAACTAGGCCGAGATTGCCATCAATTTAATTTCAATAATAAAATTTTTTTCCCATCAGATAATGTTATGAATATTTATGCATTAGCCCACAGAATGAATGCATTACAAAACTTTCCTTCCGTCTGCAGATAATGTAGAAACTAATTCTTTACATCATTTTTGGGTGTAGCCTTTAATAAAGGGCGTGTCTGTGTGGCTTTCTAATTTTGGCTCCCTCACTTCTGATCTGCTCCATACATAGCATGATATAGGACACAGCTGCATAATGTTTGTGGATTTTAAGGCTATGACTAAAATATTGAAAGTTTAGGAAAAATTTAGGACAAAATCCTGACTTGTTTATTTTCCTCCGAATTCTTCCAAACTAAGGCTGTAATGTGATGCCAATGATTAAAGTCCAATGCAAAACATTATGTGTTACTTATAACTACCATGACAATACCTTTACTAATGCTACTTTTGCAAGCATTTTCAAGATATCTTCTTAGCAACGATACTGCCCTTTGTTATGAAAACCCCCTCTCTTAGCTCTTTTGAATCAATGTCATTTTTTGGCAATTCAGTTTAGAAAACAAAATATTGTTGCTTTTTAGAACGTTGAAAAAATGTTAACAATGAAAAAGCCATCTATGATTTCGATACTTTGATTGAAACGACTTTTTGATTTCAGACTTTGTCGATAACGTTCTCCAGATCTCTTTTAATCATAAACAGTTTGTTTGGTTTCTTCGGTCCTTCAGGTCTTGCTTTTGCTCAGGACTCTGTTCTTTGGGACAAAATTAAAGAAAATTGCCTTTTCGTGAACTTTATTGAAATATCTTTTCAACTACTTCCAATGTTTTTTTCTTAAAATCCTAGGGCTCACAAATTCCTCTTCAAAGCTCCATCAATGTAGCCAGTTGATGCTTTGAACAACTAGAAATTGGATATGAATGGGATCTGGACTAAAACCTTCATAAAAACTTGTATGACTTTTGCAGGTATGTCGGTTCCCTTTCCTTAAAATTCAAAAATTACAAACTTGAATAGCGTGGGTTGTTCTGCATTTATTCTTAACTGCAGACCTTTTATTCTGAAGTGCAGACATTACATTTTTTTGGAAAATTTTTATTTTAGAACTACCATTATAATTCAAAAATCATATTTTCCTTGAGAATTAAATCCTGTTCATGACTTATTTTACGTTGCTTTTGATGAAAAGTTTCTTAATGTTGTAAGCTTTGTAAAAACATTTCGCTAAAATTTTTCTGTTATTTTGTTTCCTTCCTCAAAAAAATTTATTTCAAACTTACTGTTGGTGGCTCTGTTATGAAATTTCTCTAAAAAGCCCTTTATTTTTTTCCTTGCGTAATTATTTTTGATTATCACTTACTATCACTAGCTTTGCTTATGAGTTTCTCTAACGTGTCATGTTTTCTTGCTAATTTGCTGTAGAGAGCTTTACGTTAAATTTGCCCTAAAATACTTCCTTCCTCTTTGTTTTTGCCTAACAATATTTATTGCTACGTTGCTGTGGGGAGCTTTGCTTTAGAATTATTTTAAAAACCTTCATGTTCTCATTTCCTTGCCTGTCAATTTTTATTGCTAAGTTGCTGTAGGGAGCTACCCTTCACAATTTCCATAAAATACTTTCCTCTCTTTCTTTATTTGCCTGTCAATTTTTTTTGCTAAGTTGCTGTAGGGAGCTTTGCTTTGAAACTTCGCAAAAAGCCTTTGTTCTCTTTATTTCATTGCTTGTCATTTTTTAATGCTAAGTTGCTGTAGGGAGCTATGCTTCAGAATTTCCCTAGAATCCTTCGCTCTCTTTATTTAGTTATTTGTCAATTTTTTTTGCTAAGTTGCTGTAGGGGGCTATCTTTTAGATGTTCCATAAAATCCTTTCCTCCCTTTCTTTTTTTTCCTGTCAATTTTTTTTGCTAATTTGCTGTAGAGAGCTATGCTTCAGAATTTTTATAAAATCCTTCGTTGGTTTTCTTTTATTGCTTGTTGATTTTTATTGCTTCCTTGCTGTAGGGGGCTTTGTTTTAGAATTTCCTCAAAATCCTTGGCTCTCTTTATTTCATTGCCTGTCATTTTTTATTGCTTCGTTGCTGTACGGAGCTATGCCTTTGAAATTTCTTAAAGTCCTTAGCTCTCTTTATTTGATTGCCTGTCAATTTTTTTTGCTTAGTTGATGTAGGGAGCTATGCTTCAGAATTTTTTTAAAATCCATCGCTTTCTTTATTTCATTGCCTGTCAATTTTTTTTGCTAAGTTGCTGTAGGGGGCTATCTTTTAGATTTTCCATAAAATCCTTTGCTTTCTTTATTTCATTGCCTGTCAATTTTTATTGCTAAGATGCTGTAGGGAGCTTTGTTTTAGAATTTTCCTAAAATCCTTCGCTCTCTTTAATTCATTGCCTGGCAATTTTTATCGCTAATTTGCTGTAGAGAGCTATGCTTCAGAATTTCCCTAGAATCCTTCGCTCTCTTTATTTAGTTATCTGTCGATTTTTATTGCTTAGTTGCTGTAGGGAGCATTACTTTGGAATTTCTATAAAATCCTTTCCTCTCTTTCTTTATTTGCCTGTCATTTTTTTGTTAATTTGCTGTAGGGGGCTATCTTTTAGATTTTCCATCAAATCATTTCCTTTCTTTATATCATTGCTTGTCATTTTTTATTGCTTTGTTGCTGTAGGGACCTATGCTTTAGAATTTCCCAAAAATCCTTCGTTCTCTTTATTTCATTGCCTGTCATTCTATTGCTTCGTTACTGTAAGAAGCTATGCTTTAGACTTTTCCTTAAAACCTTGGCCCTCTTTATTTCATTGCTTGTCATTTCTATTTCTAAGTTGCTGTAGGGAGCTATGCTTTAGAATGTTATAGAAATTCTTGGCTTTCTTTATTTCGTTGCCTGTCATTTCTTATTGCTTCGTTGCTCAAGGGAGCTTTGCTTTAGAAATTTCCCAAAATCCTTCGTTCTCTTTATTTCATTGCCTGTCATTCTATTGCTTCGTTGCTGTAAGAAGCTATGCTTTAAAAATTTCCTAAAATCCTTGGCCCTCTTTATTTCATTGGCTGTCATTTCTATTGCTAAGTTGCTGTAGGGTGCTATGCTTGAGGATTTCCCTAAAATCCTTCGTTCTCTTTATTTCAATGCCTGTCATTTTTATTGTTTCGTTGCTGTAGGAAGCTATGCTTCAGAATCTCCTTAAAATCCTTCACTCTCTTTTTTTCATTGACCTCTATTTTTAATGCTAAGTTGCTGTAGGGAGCTATGATTCAGAAATTCCCAAAAATCCCTCGTTCTCTTTATTTCATTGCCAGTCATTTTTTGTTGCTTCGTTGTTGTAAGGAGCTCTACGTTAGACTTTTCCTAAAATCCTTCGTTCTCTTTATTTCATAGCCTGTCATTTTTATTGCTTTATTGCTGTAGAGAGCTTTGCTTTGGAATTTCCCAAATTTCCCCATTCTCTTTGTTTCAATGCCTGTCATTTTTATTGTTTCGTTGCTGTAGGGAGCTATGCTTCAGAATCTCCCTGAAATCCATTACTCTCTTTATTTCATTGCCTCTCTATTTTAAATGCTAAGTTGCTGTAGGGAGCTATGCTTCAGAATCTTCCTAAAATCCTTCACTCTCTTTATCTCATTGCCTCTATATTTTTAATGCTAAGATGCTGTAGGGAGCTATGTTTCAGAATTTCCAAAAAATCCTTCGTTGCCTTTATTTCTTTGCCTCTCTAATTTAAAGTTAAGTTGCTGTAGGGAGCTATGCTTTAAAATTTCACAAAAATCCATCGTTCTCTTTATTTCATTGCCTGTCATTTTTATTGCTTCGTTGCTGTCAGAAGCTATGCGTTAGACTTTTCCTAAAATACTTGGCCCTCTTTATTTCATTGGCTGTCATTTCTATTGCTAAGTTGCTGTAGGGTGCTATGCTTGAGGATTTCCCTAAAATCCTTCGTTCTCTTTATTTCAATGCCTGTCATTTTTATTGTTTCGTTGCTGTAGGGAGCTATGCTTCAGAATTATCCAAAAATCCTTCGTTCTATTTATTTCATTGTCTGTCATTTTTTATTGCTTCGTTGCTGTAAAGAGCTATGCTTCAGAATCTTCCTAAAATCCTTCACTCTCTTTATCTCATTGCCTCTTTATTTGTAATGCTAAGTTGCTGTAGGGAGCTATGCTTCAGAATTTCTAAAAAATCCTTCGTTGTCTTTATTTCTTTGCCTCTCTAATTTAATGTTAAGTTGCTGTAGGGAGCTATGCTTTAAAATTTCACAAAAATCCATCGTTCTCTTTATTTAATTGCCTGTCATTTTTACTGCTTCGTTGCTGTCAGAAGCTATGCTTTAGACTTTTCCTAAAATACTTGGCCCTCTTTATTTCATTGCCTGTCATTTCTATTGCTAAGTTTCTGTAGGGAGCTATGCTTCAGAATTTTTTTGAAATCCTTCGGTTTTTTTATTTCATTGCCTGTCATTTGTTAATACTTTGTTGCTGTAAGGAGCTTTGCTTTAAAATTTCAAAAAAATCTTTCGTTCTCTTTATTTCATTGCTTTTCATTTTTTATTACTAAGTTGCTGTAAGGAGCTAAGCTTTAGAATTTTCTTAAAATCCTTCGCTTTCTTTATTTCGTTGCCTGTCATTTTTATTGCTTCGTTGTTCAAGGGAGCTATGCTTTAGAATCTCCCTAAAATCCTTCGTTCTCTTTTTCTCATTGCCTGTCATTTTTATTCTTTTGTTGTTGTAGAGAGCTATGCTTCAGAATTATCCAAAAATCCTTCGTTCTCTTTATTTCATTGCCTGTCATTTTTTATTGCTTCGTTGCTGTAAGGAGCTCTACTTTAGACTTTTCCTAAAATCCTTGGCTCTATATATTTCATTGCCTGTCATTTTATATGGCTTAATTGCTGTAGGGAGCTATTCTTGAGGATTTCCCAAAAATCCTTCGTTGTCTTTATTTCATAGCCTGTCATTTTTATTGCTTCGTTGCTGTAAAGAGCTATGTTTCAGAAATTTTTTTAAATCCGTCGCTTCCTTTTTTTCATTGCCTCTCATTTTTATTGCTTCATTCCTGTAAGAAGCTCTGCTTTAGATTTTTCCTAAAATCTTTGGCCCTCTTTATTTCATTGCCTGTCATTTCTATTGCTAAGTTGCTGTAGGGAGCTATGCTTCAGAATTTTTTTGAAATCCTTCGCTTTCTTTATATCATTGCCTGTCATTTTTTATTGATTCGTTGCACAATGGAGCTATGCTTCATAATTTTCCTAAAATCCTTCACTCCCTTTATTTCATTGCCTCTTTTTTTTTAATACTTAGTTGCTGTAGGGAGCTATGCTTCAGAATCTCCCTAAAATCCTTCGTTTTCTTTATTTCATTGCCTGTCAATTTATTGCTTCGTTGCTGTAAGAAGCTCTACGTTAGAATTTTCCTAAAATCCTTGGTTCTCTTTATTTCATTGCCTGTCATTTTATCGCTTCGTTGATGTAAGGAGCTATATTCCAGAATCTCCCTAAAATCCTTCACTCTCTTTATTTTATTGCCTCTTTATTTTTAATGCTAAGTTGCTGTATGGATCTATGCTTCGGAATTTCCAAAAAATCCTTCCTTCTCTTTATTTCATTGCCTGTCATTTTTTATTGCTTCGTTCCTAAAACGAGCTATACTTTAGACTTTTTCTAAAATCCTTGGCTCTCTTTATTTCCTTGCCTGTCATTTTTAGGGCTTTATTGCTGTAGAGAGCTTTGCTTTGGAATTTCCCAAAATTCCCCATTCTCTTTATTTCATTGCCTGTCATTTTTATTGTTTCGTTGCTGTAGGGAGCTTTGCTTCAGAATTATCCAAAAATCCTTCGTTCTCTTTATTTCATTGTCTGTCCATTTTTATTGCTTCGTTGCTGTAAAGAGCTATGCTTCAAAATCTTCCTAAAATCCTTCACTCTCTTTATCTCATTGCCTCTTTATTTTTAATGCTAAGTTGCTGTAGGGAGCTATGCTTCAG